CGTCGTCACCAACCGCGCGAGCGCGAGTCAAGTCACGACACAAAGACGAGCACTTTGGGCTGACACTCCAAGTCTCGAAGCGTCCATCTCCATCAGCAACGGCTCGACTGGACCGCGCACGCACTCCTTTCTCTGCATTTCAGCTGTGCAAGCCTGGCCATGTCGAGGCATGCCACGCTGCCAGCTGGCGCCATGAACACGCAAGGCAATTTCTCGTCACAGAGTTCGCCAACGACACACTTGCTCGTCAGCGCCATTTCGAGCATTCCTGCCTCTTCTCTTCCTCGCTTGCAGGTCGAATTGACCCGAGCTTCAGGCTCCCGAGCTCCATCCGCATTCAAGCAAACAGAAATCATCTGCACTAGGTCAGACGATCAGGCCAGGAAGGAAGTAGAGGAGGAAGATGGGCGGTGGGGCCAGACCAGGAGGGCTCGAAAAGAGGTCAAACTCAGAGTGCTTTGCGAGCAGGGCAATGTGTGAGGTGACCAGCGACTGGTCCAGCGCGAGCACCACAAAATCACGAGCGGGCTGACCACATCCCCTGATCAAATGAAGCACCTTGATGCTGCCTTCGCCCGCGCCTCCTGTGCGCAAGCCGCAGGCAGCTGGCCAGACAGAGAGCGCTGCTACCGTTCGTCCCATCGTGGTGTTAGACATGCTCTTGCCAACATCAGAGGAGAACGATTACGATGATGACAGCGCTAGCGAGGATGGCTTCTCTGAGGCGAGCGACGATCGTCGTCAGAGCGAAGCGGACTGGAAAACTGCCATCAGTTGCTTGGGCTGGAGGTGAGTGGGACTCTGTTCGGGGCAACAAAACTTCGATGCGGCCTGCTTAGTTCCGTGCATTGAACACAGCCCTGAAAGGGAAATCAGGCGGACGGGAATCCGATTTCTGCTGCGAGAACAGCCCCTCTGGTCCGGCTGGGGCGCCAGTTTCGAAGTTCTTGTGTATCGTGTGAGTGAGCGTTATTAGACTGCCGCAGCAGCCGTATCGAGCTGCCCTCCAGAGAGCAATGACATTTAATTTATACCTTTGCGCTCCAAGACACAGGCTGGCAGTCCTGATATTGCACCCCTATCGGATGACGTGTCCTCTTACAGCATCTCGGCGCGCATCGTACACCCTCTTCTCGCAGACTCGAGGGCCACTGGGAGCGATGGTCAAGCTGGCGCTGATTCAGCTACGCGCGAGCTCGACAAACTGCAAGAGCGTCTGAAAGGCATTTGCAGCTTCGAGAGAGACACGGACTCTGGGTAACGCCGTCAGCCTGAGTCACATCCTGCTCCCACTCTGAACCACTATCGGCCTCAGTCAGAGCTTGCTCCCCACTCTGGACCGTTTCTTTGTGTTCGACGACACGTCGTCGCCCGCATCCTTTGGGCAAGACGTCCAAGCACGGTGCCGCTCAAGGAACTCAACCAGTCTGAGCGCCGGTGTTGGCAAACATCTGAAGACAACTTCTGCAATCCTTCCTCTGCTCAAAGCGCAGCAGATCACAATCACTGCGCGTCCCAAGGTTGCGAAGCGCAGATTTCTGAGCGCGTCAACACGCCCTTCGGAAATCTCTTCGATTGGCTCCCCATCGTCGCTCATCTCATTGAGCAAGAATACGTGAGATTGGGGAAAGAATTGCACCCGAAATCACACCAAATGTCTGCGCATAGCTCTGGACCGCTGGCTGCCCAGGTAGCTCGAATGAGCTTTTGAGACGATGCATTATGTGCTATGGCAGATCTGATCTGTCTTTCCCACCTGCTCGAGCTGGAATCGGAACATGCGAAGTGAATCCAGGACAACGCGGCTCCTACGACCAGCTCCCCAATCTCCGAACACAGATTCCTTGCTTCCCGTCGTTTTGTCAATGAACATCATCTGTGTAGATGTTTCGCATCTCTTTGTTAAGCGCCGCATCCGCTTGCGGTCAAGCATGCTGCAGCTGCTCGCATCGCGATGCAAAACGTGAGACAGTTGACTGGGGTCACCACTGAGCCTGGCAGTCCTGGGGCGAGATAGCTACATCTGATGATCTATCTGCTGATCAATCAAGCACGGACTCAGTGCTCGAGCCCTAGATCGATGATGGTTTTCCTTTGAACGGCCGCGCAAATTCGGACAGAGCCGTGAGACCTCTTACCGAGGCATTCCTGCTTTTGTTTCATGTTTGCGCGGCGGAGCTACTGCGCTGCCC